CCAGGGCAAGGCAGCCTTGGAGGCGGAGAAGGCCGAGTACTTGGCCGAGGACCCCGACCACAGGGCGCAAGTGGAGCAGGCCTACTCGTGCGCAGGGGGCAAGCACAGGATCACCCCCATCAACTTTTTCGCGGTCGAGAACTGGTTCGACCCGAGCAGGGGGCCGAAGTCCGCCAAGAAGCGCAGCGCGCCCCCTGCCCCCTGCTCAAGGCACTGCCGAGTCGGCGACGTGAACCTCGAGGAGGGCACCCGGCGGCGCGACGTCACCCACGAGCGGGGCGATGGCGAGACGGAGCGCTTTCGAGCAGGCAAGGCCCTAGGACCTAGGAGCATTGCTCGGGCCGGCGCAGCGCTCTGCTCGAGTTCCTAGGAGGACCGCGCGAGGGTCTTCGAGGCCATCGACGCGCGGGGGCAGCGGAGGGCCCGGGCGGACGAGCTTGTGGCAAGCTGGACCATTGACTTCATCAAGCAGGAGCGCGGCCAGAGCCTCGTGTTCGCAGACTGCCTCTCGAGCCAGTGGACCGAGGCAGTGGCGCTCCGAGCGCGGCTCAAGAATGTCACCTACGCGCCCATGGCCCCCCGAGGCCACGAGTTTCTTGCAGGGGCCCGACGCTCGCGAGCACCGCCAGCTCAAGGCCAAGATCCGAGAGGTCAAGGCCGAGAGGCACTGGGCCATGGAGAAAGACTGGATCCAACCTGCGCCGATCCGAAAGTTTCCCCAATTTCGCCACCGTGCCGGCCGCGGCCATCTGGGGCGGCGCGCGCGGGACAAGACTCGCGCGGCCCGAGGGCGGATGGCGGCGATGTCGAGGGCAGAGTCGGCGCGCTGATGGGCAGCCCAGCGCCCCGTCTGGCCGGAGGGGCCCAGTGCAATGCAAGGGCAGAGCCTAACCCCCGCCCGGGGCCGCGGGATCGGGTACCCCTTCCCGAATTAAGATTTGAAGTCCCAAGCGGTGTACTGACCCGACAATGAGCAAACCGCATAGGACGTCCTCGAAAGAGTCTTTCGCGTTCGGTCATGCGCCGACAGTTCATCGGCCGACCTGAAAGTTGCCAAATACCATAGGAATTGCCCCCCCCCCCCCCACACACACACACACACACACACACGCACGCAAAAAACGGGTCCGGTTCGAACGACCCGAAAAAGCGCAAACCGCTTCGGTGTCTTTGCAAAACATCGTTCTCGAGGTCTGCGGGCCCGCTCCGAAGAAACCGAGCATGGGCAAACCGCTTAGAATCTCTATCAAAAAACGGTTTCTCGGCGGTTCCGGGCCTCGTCCTAAGGAGCCGCCGATGGGCAGACCGCTCGCGACTTCCTGCGAATGAAACTGTATCCCGGGTGAGCCATTGTCAACGGGAGCGCGCCCCGCGCGGGATCGGGGTTCGCGCGGGGGCGCGGCTGCTCTCGCGTGTCCAGGGGGCATGTATTGTCGCGCCCTTCCAGCATTGCGTCTGCGCTGCATTCGCAAGTCGCCGCGCCTCTCAAATCGGAATAAACTTTCGGAGCGCCGATGTAACGCCCCGGACGAGCCCCAGAAGCAGTACAAGTCCCCGACGCAGTGGGGGCCCTACGAGTGCCTCTACTGCGTCTCCGAGGCCTGCACCCGCTGCCGCGAGAAGAACAAGGGCGCGATGCACCTCCTAGGGACGCAAGCCGACCAAATTCTCGCGGTCCAGCCGACAGAGCAAGGCGAGCTCAAGGTCGTCGCGGGCATGGGGCCGCGGAGCTACTCCACCGAGCCCGGCCGCGACATCGAGAACAGCCTGGCGAGGAAGCGCCTCGAGGGCGCCCAGAGCTGGCTCGAGGGCGCGCCGCCCGTGCCCGAGTGGAGCACCCTCGGCGGCAATTGCTTCCACAACGACGGTTTGCCGAGGGACTGCGAGCAGGGCGACAACCCTTGCCTCCTGGAGCTTCGAGAGCTGGACCTCGAGCTCACCGACGAGCAGGAGGACGTGCTCAAAACGCCAGTGGCTGAACGGACAGCTGTTCGCGAGAACATGCGGGCGCCCAAGTTCGCGGGCCAGTTCTTGGACAAGCACGCTCGCAGGTGGCAGCGCGAGAAGGCCAAGGCTGGCGCCGAGACCTCGCTCGAGCACCTCAGCAGAGGCGTGGCCAGGGCGAAGCTCACGGGCAGGCCGCCGAAGGCGCGCGCGAGATTCCCCTACAAGCTCAAGCAGAAGAAGCACGCGGAGAAGCATCCCAAGCAGCAGGACAAGGCCAATAAGAAACACAGACTTCGAGGCCTGCGAGGGGCCCCCCTTGGCACGGCGAGGTGGCGCGCGCGTCGCCGAGGAGGGCGTCCGCGAGGGCGGGCGCGGCAGAGTGCGGGGCGTCTGGCGAGTCCCGGGCGCCGTGGACGAGCACCTTATGCGCGTCCTCGAGGTGGGGGCCGCGGCGATCTTCCAATTCCAGAGCAGCGAGGCTGGGGGGGTCGCAGGCACTGGTTAGCTTCCGCCTGCTTGTGGCTGGGGCGGCGGAGGCAAGCGCGCGTAAGCGGGACGGCGGAAGCGGCGGAAGTTTGCGGAAAGTTTGCCGAAGCAGGCAGAAGCAACACGAAGTGGAAACAGGCGGAAGCTAACGAGCGCATGCGCGCCCCGAGCGCCACAGGTCACGATCGAGCAGGACTTCAAGTTCCCCAAGCCGCACAAGCTCGACTGGCGCCAGACCAGACAGGCTCGCCGCACCGAGCTCGACAAGGAGTGCGCGATCCTGATGTGCGAGCAGATCGTCATGGGCGGCGCCCTCGAGCTGGGCGCAGTGCGCGCGCTGCTGGGCGAGGTCGAGGAGCGCGCGGGCGTCCCCGGGGCCGTTCTGGCGGTCGCACCCACGGCGGCCGTCGCCCGGGCTCGAGATGGCCAGGGCGAGGACGCACCCGCCGCCCGGCAGCCCGAGGAGCAGAAGCGCTGGGCCGAGAGGTTTGACAAGGCCCAGCACGTGCTGATCTGCATGCACTCCGAGGCGCCTGCGCGCTACGCGTGCCTCATGGCCGGCGGATGCTACATTTGCCCCTCCCCCAAGGTGTCCCCAGTGTTTCGCTCCGTTTTGGAGCGAATCCTGGAGGCGCCCTGGGCAGGGGGGCACTTGTCGAAATTCCCACCAAGGTCTCGAGGATCAGCGGGGGCGTCGCGGCGGAGCACCGCCAAGTGGCCGCCCGAGCAGGCCCAAAAGGGCCACCGCCTACCCCCCGCGATTCCTGAGGGGGAGGTGAGGTTCACTTTGCTCTGGAGCTGCCGAACGAAGCGAACCCCGCCCCCCTCAGGAATCGCCGGTCGGGCCCGCGCGCGGCCCCCCAGGGCCGCCGCGAGGGTCCCCCGCAAGCTCGGCTCCGTGGGCCCTGGCGAGAGTTGCCCTGCACAGAGCAACGCAACGTGCCACGCAGACGGTTGGAGTTGCGGCTGGTGGACGAGTTGCTGGATCGAACGCGCCCCGCGCGAGATCCGAGGCGAGGGCCGCCAAGCGCCCGCGTCGCTGAACACGAAGTGCCCCCGCAATGAGTGGATCAACGAGCTCGAGGAGGCCAGCGACAACGACTTGGCGACGGCCAAGGCCGAGGCCAAGGCCAAGGCCAATCACAAGTCCAACCCCTGCAAGGGCCCCGCGGCGGCCGAGCCGAAGTGCGCCGCCTTCGAGCAGGCGAGCGCCGCCGCCCAGCTTTGCACCAAGTAAGGGCCCTCTGAGGAGCCCAGCGCCGCCGCCCGCCTCCAATGCAAGGACGGCTCCAGAGGGTGCCGCGCTTGCATGGGGGAGTGGTTCGAAATCCAGCGCGAGAGAGGTTGCTTGGCCAGATCGGCCAAGGATCTCTCCTGCGCTGGCAAAGTGTAGGGACGAGCCTCGAGGTCTATCGAGTCAGTCTTGTGCCGAGCGCCTGCTGGTAAGCTGTATAGCCACGAGCCTCGAGATCTCTCGAGTCAGCCTGGTGCCGAGCGCCTGCTGGCATTTTGTATAGTCGCGAGCCTCGAGATCTCTCGAGCCAGACTGTGCCGAACGCCTGCTGGCAAATCGCATGGCCACGAGCCTCGAGATCTCTCGAGCGAGGTTTGTGCCCAGAGCCTGCTGGCAAGTTGCGTGGCCAGGAGCCTCGAGATCTCTCGAGTCAGCCTTGTGCCGAGCGGCCAGGATCACCATCATCACAAGCATCGTCATCGTCATCATCATCACCATTATCCTCATATCAGCGAAAATATTGTATGATCCCCGCCAGAACCCCGAACTTTATTATCCCCCGGTGATTATCATCGCCCGCGCAAAGTTACACGAACAAGCGCTGTTTCAGATTGAGTGGGGTTCGAAAGGGAAGCCCACGACCATGCGGCAAGGGCGCGATGCAGCGATTCCGGCATTTCCGGTCAGCAGGTGCTAAGTGTGCTGGTGTCCCGGCCAAGTTTGTGCCTCCGCGGGCGGCCCCAGCTGATATCGCCTCCTCTCCCGCGGGGCGCGCGCCTCGTCCTGACACCCTGGGATGGCGGCGCGCGCTGCCGACACCAGGGTGTCAGGGAGGAGGCCGCCGCAGCACATGGAATGCCCGAGGGAAACTGTCTCTGTCCTGGCAACCCACCTTCTCATCGTTCTTTGTCTCCCCCCTGGCCCCCCTGATCAATCCCATCCTCCCACCTCCCCCTTTTGTTTTTTCCTGCCCGTTCCCCTCGTCTTCCGCCCTCTTCATCCTCCTCCTGTCCCTCCACCGCTTTTCCATGATTCATTATTACTTTCCATCTCCCGTTGCGCCCTTCTTTCTGCGTAGTTTTCAAAAGCCTGCATCAAACCCAAGAAAGCCACTAGAGTTCCTTCGAGAAGTTTACACGACTCATCCCGACTCATCCACAGCCCTTCCACCCTCCATCTCTACCCTGGAAGAATGAGGAAAGAAAACAGGAGGAGGAGGAGGTGGGACGAAGGGAAGAGGTCATCTCCTCTCCCCCCCTGTTTCTCCTCCTCCGTATCATTCTTCCTCCTCGCCCCCCGAGTCCCCTTATTCCCGCGGAGCAGGACGACCCGCAGCCGTTTTTTGATCGAGCTTGGGTGCCCCAGGGTCTGCTGCTACACGTTGTAAGAATCCGCGCGCGACCTTGACTTCTGCTCTCTCTCTCTCTCTCGACAATGGCCCTGTGTTCCCAGGGAGGCGCGGCGGCGCCCGACCTCCACGGCCTCGACGGCGCCCCGGGCTGCTGCACGCCCCTCCCCGGAGGCTCGGGGACCTCCAAGAGGGAATGCAGGCTGACGAAGTACATGACGAACCAACAACTCACACACACACCCATACCCATAGAGGGGTCGGAGAGGGCTATGGGTGCGTGTTGTCGGATGGGGGTCCCCGCTCGAACGGGAGCGTTCCCCAGGGTCCGACAACCCGCACCCATACCCACAGCCAGTCCTCCTCCCAACGACCCCCCTATGGGTATGGTTGCGTGTTGCTCGTTCGTCAGTACAGTACACGGCGAGGGCGCACTGCAGTCGGACCGAGGTATGATCGGCGCCACCCCAACATTCTTATACTAAATGTGCGTCGCCCCCCTAAAGGACGACGCGCGCACCGAGAAGTCTTCTAGCAGATGCGTCGCGGCGGGGGCGCTTTCTGGCCACACCGCTCGGGAAGGGATATACTACGGGATGGATAGGTATACTAGATGTTCGGGTCGGACGTGCGCCTCCGAGGAGAACGTATAGTACAGTCGGGGCCCTGAAGAAGGAACCCTTTTCGTTGGGGAGGGGCTCCGCGTTCCTTAAGTGTTTCGCAGCTTGCCTCGGGTTTTCCTTGTGTTTTCGATCGGAAATCGAAGGTTAACTTATGGAAAAAAAGGGGCCTCGTTCCTTATTTAGGGTTCCTCAGGTCAACGCCCCGACTGTACTGGTATGTCTCTGCGCGTCCCCTATGAGTCGGAGGAGGAGCAGGTAACGAATCCCTTTTTTACTCTCCCCACTCAGATCGGGGTCGGCTCGCGGAGGGTACTCCAGTGAGTATTCTCCGTGCTCGTTGGATGCTCCTGCGCACACCCTGGGAAGGATACCCCACATTTCGTAATAAAGGGAGGGGGGTCTCATTTCGGGGGGGGGTCTCTTCCAGGCTATCGTGGAGGGCCTGGGGTGGTCTGGGGACGATGTTTTGGAGGGTTCTCCCACGAGGGGGGGTCTGAAATGGCTTGTCTTGGAGGGTCCAGACCCCCTTCCTTTTATTACGAAATCTGGAGTACCCTTGGATGCTCTGTGTGTTTCGTCCGGCGGAGGGTCTCGTGTTCTTGATGGCTGTCTGTCTGGCCTGGGCCCGAGTGTACTTCGCCAGGGCTGCCCTCGCGTCTTCGCTGATTCGCCCCCTCTTGAGCCGATGTTGACGTCCGGGAAGCTCCAAATGGTGCATGGCACGTCCAAGGGCCCTGCAGCTTTGCCTTGCGTCCTCACTACGGTGTCTGACTGCAGGATAGCGTCGCGCCGACGGGGGGGTGACCCGGGGGGGCTTCCAAGATCGAGTGCCGCCCGTTGCCCAGAATCGGCCCCCCTCGCACGATCAGCGCACTGGAAGGCCACGATCGTTTGGAGTCGGATGACCCACGCGGTGGCAGGTGATGTCCAGGTTTGGACGTCCTGCATGCGGTCGGACCGAGGCGTAAGATCGAGGTCGGGGAGGGTGCCCTTCCCCGAGGAGGGAGGAGGGAGGAGGGAGGAGGGAGGAGGAGGAGGAGGAGGAGGAGGAGGAGGAGGAGGAGGAGGAGAAGGAGGAGGAGGAGGAGGAGGAGGAGGAGGAGGAGGAGGAGGAGGAGGGCACCCTCGGAGGTTCTGTGCGTCTTAGTCGGCGGAGGGTGTCTCGTGCTCTCGAGGCATGTCCTTTCTGTCCCGGGTCCGACTGTCCGCCGGCCATGGCCGGGTCAGCCTTGGGCCCAGGACCAGCGCCCACGCCTTCTCGGCCAGGTCAGGGTGACTCAGGATGATGGGCCTTGTCGGTACCACTGCAGAGTTGGGGTGCGTGGAGGGTCTCGTGCTCTTGATGGATGTCTTTTCTGTCCTGGGTCCGACTGTCCGCCGGCCATGGCCAGGTCAGCCCTGGGCACAGGACCAGCGCCCACGCCCTGGCATCGCTCGGACGTGTGCCTTTTTCCTTCGGCGAGGGCCATCGAGGAGCATCCTTGACCAGCACGAAACCGGAAAAAAAAACACGGGGAATGGACGTCCGAGCGATGGTCAGACGCCTTCTCGGCCAGGTCAGGATGACTCAGGATGATGGGCCTCGTCGGGACCACTGCAGAATCGGGGTGCATCCCCATGTGCCAGGGCCGAAGGTAGTGCCCGAGAGCCTTCCCGAGCGGCTTCGGAGGTTCTCGTCCCCCAGAACCTCCTACGTAGAGCGGCACAGGGCCCCCCAGAGCCCCCGAGAACATTCAGAGCTGCCCCAGAGTCTTTACAACTTACAACCCCCCCAGGCCCCGATCCCCCTCCCCAGAGCTGAGGGCGAGCAATTCCCCCAGGAGCACCTGGACTCTCCGCAGAGGCCCTTAGAAAAGATCCCTCTCCTGGCGGCCACTCTTCTCGCTTGTCGAGTGCCTCGGGGGAAGCTCCGAGCCTTGACCCCGGCGGAAAACCCACTCTGCGAGGCGCGGCCGCCTGTCGGCAGGATGTGGAGACGTGGGGAGCTCTGGGGCGATACCTTGCCTCCCCCCCCCGCCCGCCTCCACCCACGTAGCCCTCCCCCCCTCCCCCCCCCAGGATGGACGACGGCGCCCCTCCGCAATCTCGGAGATCTCGGTCGCATCCCGAGAGCCTCCCGGGGAGCCCCTGCAGCCCCTTACAGCCCCCAGGCTTTCGACGACGCGCTCCGCTGTGCAGTCTGCGGGCCCCGCGGGCCGTCGGCCCCCTCTTGCCATGGGTGCCCCCTCCTCGGGGCGTGCCAAGAGGTCCGGGAGTCGGGCCCCCCTCGCCTCAAGTCGAAGAACGGTCAACAAGTAGTCTGGGGACGACGTTTTCGTATTTTTGGTCATTGTTTGATTTTGTGCTTGGGCTATGGCCATTTGTATTGTTTTGGTCCAGGATCCGCCTGTAGGAGGACACGCCCGACCTAGCCCTCACCCCTCCCCACCACGGCTGATGACCCCCAGGACGCGTGTTGGCTTATTGTTGGGGAAGCTTCAGATTGGAGTAAGCTGGAGCTCGTGTTTGCCGAGGTTTGTTGACGAGCGCGCCCTGGATGTTGACGGTTCGGTTTTCGTGGGATGTTTGCGGAGTTCGCGTCAAACTTCAGATTTGGTCTCGTCATTTTCATTGATGGCCCCGTCAGGCCAACCCGAGTCCCCCGTTTCCGAGTCTGACGTCTCCCCGATATTGTGTGCTTGCCCCCCTCTCAGCGCCACTCACATCACGCAGCCTGTGCCAGCGCTTCTTGCACCGCCTGCGTCGCATCGAGGGGCTTCGGTGGACGAGCACGCCCTGCCGCTGACGCGAGCTCTGAGGAGCATCGACCCTCCCGACTGCGGAGGATGAGTCCGAGGCGGGAATTTATACATGACCCACCGCCTGGAATCGGGGGATGAAAAAACGGCCCTACCCTGGGTTTTAAGTGCGTGGTCTGTAGACCTCCTGGGAACCCTCAACGCCTAGAGCCGCCAGGACGCGGCACATCACGCAAGGTTTGCCCTGTCAGCCCACAGGAGTTTCAGCGCACAGCGCCTCGTAAACCAGGGTAGGGGCGTGTTTTCTGCCCTTGATGGAGGATCAATTTTCGGGGACCCCGGCAGGCGGTGGATCTGAACATCGTCGGGCCACCGGGGGCCAACATGTATCCGTATCCACCGCCCGCTGGGGCACCAGCGCGTCGGGTTTCCCAGGCGGTGGACATGGAGCAATCTCCGCCTCGCAGTGAGGGCCAGTGGAGACGGCGGCCCTCCCGCCCAGGCCCCATCCGCTCCAAGTCGGTCCCCAGACCCCTCCCCGGCGCGCATCCTGACCAGCTCTCCGAGGCCGACACTTGGTGGTCCCCAAACGTGGTGGTGAGAACACCCTGTGGTGGGTTTTGGGCGATTTGGGTAATGATTCTCGAGCGCTGGCTGGCCCAGGAAACGCAAAACCTCGTGGCGACCGCGTGTCCCCAAACCCGGTGGTGACCCAGAATTATTTTTGTGGGGAATCGGGGTCACCACCGGGTGTCTCACCACTTGGTTTGGAGACCACCAAGATACGGCCGTGGCGACCAGGCGCCTCCGTGGTGGCACAGGAACAGCGCAAGATGTCAGGCAGGGCCGCCGTGGTCTGGCCTGGCCTTCTGATGTTCCAACCCACATTAGCATCGATCACCAGAAGTAAGCTCGAGAACCAGGAAGGCACCCAAACGGGAGGGTTTTCACGTGTCGGGCCCTGGGGGGCGATAATTACTCGTTCGGCTCTCTTTCGATACTCTCCTGGGTGGTCGAAGTTCTTTCTGGGACGTGCTCCTTAGGTACGACGGGAACAACACAAGCCTGGCCGTCCCCCGAGCAGCGGTGGAAGAGGGCGGGGGCCCGCTTGCGCCGCTGGGGTCGTCGTCGTCGTCGTCGTCGTCGTCGTCGTCGTCGTCGTCTGCGCGGCCTCTGCGGCTGCTTCGGTCTGGGGTGCCCCCGGGCAGGCCTGGCGGCCCTGAGCGCGGCGGGCTTCGTGGCGCCGCCCGGCCTGGTCGCCCGGGGGCTGCTTCTCTTGGGGGCGGCAAAGAGGGGGGTGATGACTGCGGGGGGGCGGATATCATGGCGTGGGCCATGATAATTCCCCAGATCTCATGGCGCCTCTTCTTGTTTCATTACGTCCCTGGCCCCCCCGCTGGGCCGCGCACGTGCCACCGGTCATGATTTGCACCCCCCCCTCTTGGACACCCCCCTCTTGGCCGCTCCCGATTCTCCAACTCCTCCGCCCCCTCGAGAGGAGCGGAGGACCCCCAGACCCCCTCGAGTCGTGGAACAAAAACACTACGGGAGGTGTTTCGCCATTCTCGGCCTCTGGAGGCACCTGCGGGCCCCCGGGGCCGTCAACAGAACGATTCTCGGGATGAAGAACCGGCCCTGGGCAATGGGTCCAGACCGCCGGAGGGTCCATCTCCATCTCCATCTCAACATTCGATCTCCCTCTCCTCCCTCCCTCTCCCCCTTGCGTCCTCCCTCGTCCTCCTCCCCCTCGGTTCCTCCATCCCCCCTCCTACTCCCTTTGAGGGCGACGGGGGGGGAGGGGGAGGGACGAGGGGGAGGGGCGGGGGGTGGGAGAGCGAGGAGAGAAAACGGAGGCGGAGTCGCCGGAGAAGGAGGATGAGAGCGAGGACGAGGATGAGGAGGAGGAGGAGGAGGACGCGGATGATGATGATGAGGCGGAGGAGGAGGACAGAGGAGGGAAGATATGGTTGGTTGTGGGCGGCGGAGAGCTCTGCACCAATTGTGGGGAGTATGAAGACACGAGGACGACGAGGGGGCTGGGATGTTCATGATGACGACGATGCTGCTGACTATGATGCTGATGATGTCTATGATGATGGTGCTGATGATGAAGATGATGATGATGATGCTGATGATGATGATGATGATGATGGTGGTGGTGGTGATGACGGTTATGATGTTGATGATGGTAATGTTGGTGGTGATGGTGATGGTGATGGTGATGATGTTGATGTTGATGTTGCTGCTGATGATGATGGTGATGACTATCGTTATGGTGATGATGATGCTGATGATGATGCTGATGATGCTGATGCTTATGACGCTGATGATGTAAGTCGTTGATGATGTTGCTGCTGATGATGATGCTGATGCTAATCTCGTCTATCCCTGGTGTTGTATATCTCGATGCATCCTCAGCATGTTGCGTCGCGGTTGCTTCTTTCCGCGAAGTAGGGGGCAGTGGTTTGCAGACTTACATGTTGCATTACGCATGTCCGTTCGTGGTAATTCATGGTTGGCTATCTGTGAGGTCACGCACTGCCGCACGGCGCCCTGTGTTTCACTTCTCAGGCCCAGTTCGCGGCAGGTGTTCGCCTATGGAGGGTTGGCTGGTGCGGCGCCGCTGGATTGTCTCGCAGTCTGTGTCTGCAATGCTAGTCCTTCTCTGCATCCCTCCTCTTCCCTCCTTCTTTCTCCTCCCCTTCTCTCGTAAGTGCCGAGTGTCCAGTGTTTTCATCTCTTGAAGGCGGCAGCGAGGGGAGTTTCTGGTGGGACGGAGGCGGCACGCTGCAGTCTAACTCCACCGATCCATTTCTAGTCGCTTCCTGCCCGAGGGCGGGGCGCCTGACGGGCGTGGCGAAGCGAATGGTGGTCTGGTGCTCATCGGATGTTCGCGCTCACTCGCTCCCTCTCTATGTCTCTCCCGCCGTCCTCCAGAAGCAAGTGACGATGTTGCAGATGATCATGATGACGATGACGACGACGATGGTGATGATGATGATGATGATGAGGATGATGATGGTGATGATGATGATGATGATGGTGATATTTTTGGTGATGTGTATCATGCTGATGGTGGTGATGGTGATGATGATGGGGTTGGTGATGACGATAATGATGATGGTGAGGATGGTGTTGATGGTGATAGTGATGATGCTGATGCTGCTGATGACGATGCTAATGATGATGCTAATGTTGACGATGCTGATGATGATCATCATGCTGATGCTGATGATGATGCTGATGATGATGATCTTGATGATGCTGCTGGTGATGATGCTGATGATGCTGATGGTGCTGATTACGATGATGATGATGATCATGGTGGTGGTGATGATGATGCTGATGATGATGATGACGATGATGCTGATGATGATGATGATGATGATGACGATGATGATGCTAATGATGATGATGATGATGATGATGATGATGATGATGATGATGATGACGACGACGATGATGATGATGAGGATGATGAGGATGATGAGGATGATGATGGTGGTGATGGTGGTGATGCTGATGATGATGAGGATGCTGATGATGATGATGCTGATGATGATGCTGATGATGATGATGATGATGATGATGATGATGATGATGATGATGATGATGATGATGATGCTGATGATGATGATGATGATGATGATGATGATGATGATGATGATGATGATGATGATGATGATGATGATGATGATGATGATGATGATGATGATGATGATGATGATGATGACTGGCGAGGGCAATGTGGGGATGATGATGTGGAGGACGAGAAGCAGAAGCAGGGGCAGGAGCAGCAGGGGGCTCGGACATAACATCCGCGGAGGAGCAGCAGTGGATTCGCACCCCGTGGCCACTGAATGCTTCTGCGTGTCGAGGGCCCTGCTACCACCTGTGTGCGCGCCTGGGAAGCACTCTCCCTCCCCCCCGCTCGCGGAAGAGGATGAGGACGTGGAGGAGGCAGAGGAGGAGGAGGAGGAGGACGAGGAAGAGGAGGAGGAGGAGGAGGAGGAGGAGGAGGAGGAGGGAGGAGGAGGGGGAGGAGGAGGAGGAGGAGGAGGAGGATGAGGAGGAGGAGGAGGAGGAGGAGGAGGAGGAGGAGGAGGAGGAGGAGGAGGAGGAGGAGGAGGAGGAGGAGGAGGAGGAGGAGGAGGAGGAGGAGGAGGGAGGGAAGAGGGAGGAGGAGGAGGAGGAGGGAGGAGGGGGAGGAGGAGGAGGAGGAGGAGGAGGAGGAGGAGGAGGAGGAGGAGGAGGAGGAGGAGGAGGAGGAGGAGTCCCCAGCAGGAGGAGGAGGAGGAGGAGGAGGAGGAGGGGGAGAGAGAGGGGGGGGAGAACTAACAGGAGGGAGGAGCAGGGATGAGAAGGAGGGGGTATAGGGGTAGAGCATGAGGATCGAGGGGCGGGCAGGACGGGGAGGACGGTGAGCATCGGGGAGGGAGGAGGGGCACCAAGGACTCCTCAGCTGGGGACTCCTCCTCCTCCTCCTCCTCCTCCTCCTCCTCCTGCTCCTCCACCTTCTCCCCCTCCTCCTCCACCTCCCTCTGTCCCCCTCATTCGTCCTCCCCCTCGCTCCCCCCTCCGCGGCCTCAGCACCCTCCAGTACTCAGGACGGGTGACCACCGGGGCAAGCCATTCTGACTGGGGAGTCCTGCGTTGGGCTGTCGCCCGCTCGGAAGCCGCCTCCGATCAGCCCGGGACCTCCACCGGGCCCGCGCCCGGATGGCAGAGGTCGCCCTTGAGCTGGCCTCCATGGCGATCGGTGGCAGCGGGCCTTGGCGCTCCTCCGAGAGATGTGGGAGGCAAAAACGGAGCCGACCGTCGTCTCTCCTGCATGGCCAGGGGAAGCGCGTGCGGAAAGGGAAACGGATCGAGCATCCAAAATCGGCCTCGGCGGGCCCCTGGCGCGGCCTCGGCCCGCGTTCGGGCCCAGAGCTGGTCCAGGCCTCCCCCGGGAGGAGGCGGAAGAGGGCCAGGAGGAGGACGAGGGGAGGCACGGGCAGCCGGCAGGGGCGGTTGGGCGGGAGGGAAGGATTTGGCATCGCTCGGACGTGTGCGTTTTTTCCTTCGGCGAGGACCATCGAGGAGCATCCTTGATCATTTGAAGAAACCACGCACGAAACCAACAAAAAACACAGGGAATGGACGTCCGAGCGATGGCGAGAAGGAGGGGGGGGGCGCGGGGGCGGTGGTTGTGTCGTCGTCAGTCGTGGTCGGCGTGGCTGGCGCAGGACAGGTCGTGGGGCTGAGGCTAGTCATGCTAGTGGCGTCGAAGATTTCGTCGTGGTGACGGGCGTGAAGGGGAAGGACCCTGGAAGCGGCAGTGCAGTTTTTGCCACAACTCTCATGCATTCTGCTTCTGAGCATGCAACGGGAAACACACGCTCCTCACCCAAGCTGAAATGCTGCGCCAGTGTCGGAAGCGGAACTGGAGACCAGATGACGATGGAACCAGACAAGCGCACGGCGGCGGAACCAGAAAACGTGACGGAAACAGCCTTGTCGTTTCCAGGACCCGCTAAGGGCTTTCTGTGGGCAGGAGAAGGGAGGAGGAGGAGGAGGCAGGAGAAGGGGGATGAACATTGGAGGAGGAGCAGCAGCAGGGGAAGGATATTTATGGAGAGTGCACGACGACGACGATCTGCTCCCCCTCCAACGACGGCGGCGGCGGTCGCGACGACGACGACGACGACCAGGCCACGCCGACATTCGCCAACGCCGACTGCCACGACCGACGAAGTCGACGACGACGACGACGACGCCGATGACGACGACGACGACGACGACGACGACGACGACGACGACGACGACGACGACGACGACGACGGCGGCGACGACGACGACGACGACGACGACGACGACGACGACGACGACGACGAGGCGACGCCGACGACGACCGCCACGGCCGCCCGCGCGACGGCGGTTTAACTACGGCGGCGACCCCTCCCCACTCTTCCCCCTCCTGCTCGTCATCCTCCTCTTCCTCCTCCTCTCCTTCTCCTCCGCCTGCTCCTTCTTCTCCTCCTCCTCACTCCTCCTCCTCCTCCTCCTCCTCCTCTCCTCCTCTGCTGCTCCTCCTCTTCCTCCTCCTCTCCTCCTCCTCACTCCTTCTTCTCCAGGCCGCGCCCGCCGGCTTTGCCCCGCCGCCGGGCCTCACGCTGCCGCCCGGCTTCCAGGCGCCGCCGGGGCTGGCCGCGCCCGGCGAGGGCTGCGCGAGCGCGCCGGAGAGGCGCCCTTCCCTCGGGGGCCTCCCAAAGTCTCGGGCCGGACGAAAGAGCCTGTTTTTTTTTAGACTCTGGCAAGTTTACTTGCATGGACGGGGGGGGGTGGGCTGAGCCTGAAGCAAGCCCGGGGGGGGGGGGGCGCGGGAATCACGCAAGTCGAAAGGCACTTGCACGCTAGTATTCGCTTGAAGAGGGGCGGGGGGGGGGGGGGCGAACGCCATGCAAGTAAACTTGCCTGAATCCAAAAAAACAGGCTCAGGGGGGGTTACGAAATTTGCTGCATGCAGCTGGTGTCGGCCTCACCGAGGGGCCCCTTCCTCGATACATAGCCGCCTCCGGCGGCGCCGCGAGGCGCCGGGAACATCAGCTACGTGAGCTGATTCTCAACCCCCCCCTTTGCTATCCCCCCCTTTCGCCCGACCCGACAGAGGCCGCCTCCGCCGTGGTCGCCGTGGTATGTCGTCGTGGTCGGGGGCTTCTCCCAAAGTCGGGGGCGGCAAAGAGGGGGGTGATGACTAGGGGGGCGGATATCATGGCGGGGGCCATGATATTTCCCCAGACTTCATGGCGCCTCTTCTCATTTCATTACGTCCATGGCCCTCCCGCTGGGCCGCGCACATGCCGCCGGTCATGATTTGCACCCCCCCCTCTTGGACACCCCCTCTTGGCCGCTCCCGATGGTCGCCGTGGTCGCCGTGGTCGCAGTGGTATGTCGTCGTGGTCGTCGGCGCCGCTGTCGTCGTGGCCATGGTCACGGCCTGTCGTCGTGGCCGTGGTCGTCGTGGCCGTCGTCGTCGTGGCCGTCGTCGTCGTGGCCATGTTCGTGGTTGTGGTCGTCGTGGCCGGTGTCGTCGTGGCCATGGACCCGACCCGTCGTCGTGGCCGTCGTCGTCGTGGCCGTGGTCGTGGCCGTGGTCGTCGTGGCCGTGGCCTTGGTCGTCGTGGCCGTGGCGTCGTGGCCGTGGTCGTCGTGGCCGTGGCCGTGGTCGTCGTGGCCGTGGCGTCGTGGCCGTGGTCGTCGTGGCCGTGGTCGTCGTGGCCGTGGCCGCGGTCGTCGTGGCCGGGGCTGGCCCCCACATGCGAGGGGTGCTCGGGCGCGGCACCAGGGCGCCCCTTCCGGAGCAGGTGGGGCGGCCGATGGCCCACCCCGAGGGCGAAGTGCGGCTACGGGAGGGGGCTAGGGTCGCTACGGTCAGCCCGCACAGTAAGGATGGGCAGCCTTCCCAAGGGTGCCCATCGGTCTTTGAAAGTATGTATTTTTGGAGTCCTGGATTCCAATCTGTTTTAAGCGCTCTCCTACTTCAATCATCGAGTGGCTTCACCTTTTCCGTCCTGTTTTGTGGGCAGGTGGACACCCAATCTGCCTGTTTCCGATGTCCTGTTTCTACCTACGTACCTCTTCCGACCGATGGGTACCCTTGCATCCTTGCCTCCTCGGTCCGTCCTTGGACACTCTCGTGGGCCGCGCCCCACTCGAAAAGTGTCGGCAGGGCCTTCCGAGGCCCTCGCATCCCTATCGAGCGCCCTTACGACACGGGTCGACCGTAGGAGCAGGGGAAGAGGAGGTGCCGATGTGTACCGCTGCCCATGCTTCGCGCGTCGCCAAGAGTGGATTCGCCTCGACAGCCTAGACACCCCAAAGCTCCCAAAAAACGGCCCCATAGCTTCCAAGGCCCTTGCTCCAAAAAAGGTCCGGGAAGTAGCATTATCTGTAGATCTGTTCGGTGGCCAGCCCGGGGGGGAAGTGAGAAGGGGCGGGCCTTCCCAGAAGGCTCGGAAGTCCCCCGGTCTTGTGAGAAGTTTCTGAAGCCGTCCCCAAAGACACGGAAAATTTCTCAGAAGGCGCGAGGACTTCCGAGAAGTCCCGCCGCCTTCTGAGAAGGCCTTCTCCTTCTCGCGTCCCCCACTCCCGCTCGCCGCCGATGCTTGTTCGGTGGGGCGGATCTCATGGCAGGGGCCGGGGGATCTCCCATCGCCCCGATCGCGTGGCCCCCTCTTTTTCTTCTTCTTCTTCTTCTTCTTCTTTCCCTGCGTCCCCTCGCCCCCCCCCCCCCGTCGTCCGCCGCGCGAGTGCCTCGGGTCAGGCTGCCCAGGCACCCCCCCGTCGGCGCACCGGACGGACGGTCTGAAGAGCGGGCTGCGGCGGCTGGGGGATCTCGACGTCGGGGCCCTTGGCGTCGCTCGGAAGTGTGCCTTTTTTTCTTTCGGCGTGGACCATCGAGGAGCATCTCGGATCATCGTGCGAAAAGTGCACGCGCGAAACCGAGAAAGGCGTGCACGGGGAACGGACACTCGAGCGAGGGCCAGGGGTCGGGGGGAGGAAGCTGGGAGGAGGGGCTGGTAGGTTGAACTGGACGATGCGCTGCGCGCTGCTCCTCACAGCGACCTGATCGGATTAATCTCCCTAGCCATCTTGGCGTAGCCAGGCGCTCGACCCATGCGCTCGATCCTTTCCAGAAGGCGGAGGGGGAGGGGGGGCAATGGGGAGGATAAGGGACCAGCGGCTCCAAAAGGCCGATGCCTTCGTGGTCGGGTCGCCGTCGTCGTCGTCGTCGTCGTCGTCGTCGGCGCTGTCGTCGTTGCGGCCCCCCTCGTTGTTGGTCGCCATCGTCGTGGTCTTGGTTGCCGTGGGGGTCGTGGTCGTCGTCGTCCTTCTCCCATCTCCGATCTCCCCTCGTCCTGCCTGCCGCCTCCCTCCCCCCTTCCGCAGTCACTCAACATGAATACACTACTCGCCTCTCTCCTCAGACTCTGTGATGGCAGCTCTGTCGCCTCCCCCGCATAGTTTCCCACCTTTTTCTCGGATGTCAAACAGTGTGTTTAGATACAGTCGGGGCGCTGAGGAAGGAACCCTTTTTGTTTGGGAGGGGCTCAGTGTTCCTTAGTCGTTCTACAGTTCGCCTTTGGTATGCCTATGGTTTCCAATGGGACATCGAAGCTTAACTTATGGAAGAAAGGGGCCCCGTTCCTTGCTTCCTTAGGAGCCGTAGCTCAAACCCTACTAGTTGGTCCGCTGCCCCCCTAATTCCCATGCCCCCCCAAGCCCTATGGCTAAGCCTATGCCTATGCCTATGGTTTCCCCTAACTCCTATGCCTACGCCTATGCCTACGCCTATGCCTACGCCTGTGCCTATGCCTGCTTGCTTGCGCGCTTGCTTGCGCGCTTGCACCCTTGTTTGTTTGATTGCTTGCTTGCTCGCTTGCTTGCTTGCTTGCGCGCTTGCTTGCACGCTTGCTCGCTTGCCGAGTTGCGGATTCCAAGCATGCTTGATTCCTCCGATTCCTTGTTTTGAGTCGTCTTCTCCATTTGGAGCCAACGCTGGCTGATACCTGCTTGTCTGGCTGCTCGCCTGTTTGTTTGCTTGTTCCGATCAGGTTTGACTGTCCAGGGGGCCACATGCGAACCCTACCCCTACCCCACACGATTTCTGAGGGGAGGGTGGGGTTCACTTCGTTCGGGAGCTCCCGAGCGCAGTGAACCCCACCCTCCTTCTTGGGGGGTCGGGGGTCGGGTTCGCATGTGGCCCCCTCTTGTCTTTCCTGGGAGGGGCGCGTGCGCAGGCTTCTCGGGGGGGGAGAGCGCGCCGCGGGTGGGCGGCACGTGGGGTGGAGGGGGGGGGGGAGGGGGGTGCGGCAGGGGCTGCGGAGAAAGGGGCCCTCTTAAGGGCCCCTGATCCTCCCTCTCCTCCTCCTCCTCCTCCCTCCTCCTCCTCCCCTCCTCCTTCCTCCTCCTCCTCCTCCTCCTCCTCCTCCTCCTCCTCCTCCTCCTCTTCCTCTTCCTCGGGGCCCCGTGGCGCCCAGAAAAGAAGGCCTTCGCGGCCCGAGAGCAGTGCACCTTTCTGGGTCCCCCCCCCCCCACCGATCGCCCCCCAGCAATTCGCGCCCAGGTTCCCTTCTTTTTTTAGCAGGAAGGAACAAACAGAGCGGCACCAATTCCAGGTTCCCTTTATATAAGAAAAGAGAAAGAAGGATCTCCTGAACATGTCCCGTGGCCCCTCGGCTGAATGGGGTCCGGCGAAGTTGCCTCCGGTCGGGCCCGTGCCAGGGGGACGCGCCTGGGAGCGCCTCAGGAGACGTGCCCTAGACGTGCCGTGGGACGCGCCACGGGACGTGCCGAGTGGCGTGCTAGGGGACGCGCCAGGGCGCCAGGGGACGCCGCAAGGGACGCACCAGGGGACGCGCCATGGGGCGCGCCAGGGAGCATGTGGGGGACGCGCCAGGGAACGAGCCGTGGGATTCGCCAAGGGCTCCTTTTGGCAGGTCTCCGTGGCGCGTCCCTGGCCCGTCCATGGCACGCGACCCCTGGCACGGCCTGTGGCGCATCCATGCGCCCTGTGCCCGCTGTCGGCTCCTACCGCTTCGGAGCCGAATTGAATCTTGAGCTCAAGCTGGTTGAGCGCCCCGCACGATCCGACTACAGCCAGCACTTCGCGAGTCATGCGTTCAGGCAGCTCGAGCTCAGATTCAGTATCAGATCGGTCTAGATTCGGACGCCACGGACGACTGGATTCACAGCACAGTGGAGAACTACAGCACAGCATGAAACAACACAGTTCAGCACAGCACGGTACAGCGCAGCGCATCACAGCACAGCCATTGGCACAGTATCATCACCATGGCCATCATGAGGACTTCCACTGCCCGATGCCCGAGCTAGGGCGGATCTATACTCCAGATGTCGTAATAAAAGGGAGGGGGTCTGGACCCTCCAAGGCAAGCCATTTCAGACCCCCCCCCGTGGGAGAACCCTCCAAAACATCGCCCCCAGACCCCCCCAGGCCCTCCAAGATAGCCTGGAAGAGACCCCCCCCCGAAATGAGACCCCCCTCCCTTTATTACGAAATCTGGAGTAGCCCCTCCTGGGTTCGGGAGTCGATCATGCTTTGAACGTTTGGGGGGCTTCGGAGGCCTCTGAGGATTTTTTGAGGGCATTCGGACCTGAGGGGCCCTTGGTTTCTTCGCTAGTCTCTCTTCTGTTGTTGTTGCTGTTGTTGCTGTTGTTGTT